GTTTTGCACCGTGTACGTCTCTACATGTTCTTCAACAATTTTCAGGAGAGCAAGAAGACGGCTGCTAGGTACTTTCAAATAGCCCCTCGATTTTGTTTGGATCCAGGCAGATGGCTGACGTGTTGTGCTCAACATCGTTTCGATGCAGCCTAAACAATCCAAAGTAGAAAACTTCTTGGCCACATATCCGCCGAGGTAATCCAAAATGGAGTCTTTGGTCGAAAGGGGGCCAATGTCCTCCACGCAGTCTGTTGTTGGCTCCAGCAGGACATCGTCCAGCAGAACAGCTAGTGTGTCCACCTGAAATGTGCACAACTTCCTGAATTTTCAAGGTGATAAAAAGGAAACTTCAGGACACATACAGGACACAAATTGCAAAATACCTGAGTCGTAGAGGGCTTTTCCTTGTCAAAAAGACCTTGCAGAGTGAGAAGCAGTTGTGGCCCGCTTCCGTCAGCTGAAGCTCGCTTAGGTGGCCGCACGAGGTTGTTCACCGACAGCATCCGGTATATAAACAAAAACTGCTGAACAATTGGTTGGCCCCCGTCTCCTGCAACATGCCTGGCTATCCCAAAGAAGCGCTGGACAGGGAAAAAGAAAGGTATCTGTACCAACACACCATGCCAGAAGTACCTGAATTACCTCTAAAGGGTCTTGGCCGAGGTTTCCAACTAGAACATAACGGAAGCCAGACTTCAAGAGTTGATCAATCAGGGCCACCGTGCTGTGCAGCGTTATCCTCAGTGCACCACAAGTTGGTTTGCTAAAGAAGCACACCTGCCTCTGCTTCGGCAGGCTCTCTATGTATGTGCAGCAATCCTCCAGCCACTTTATCTTCGCCTTCAATGTCTGCAATGCAAGACATATTAACCTTGAGTACACTATAAAAGAAAAACATATTTGGGTGTGATTTACTCGCTCCCCGCGATGTGCTCAGCTTCGTTGTATTGCACGTCCTGTGGTCTTCTTGAGTTGAGGCAGTCAAATAGATCGTTCATCTGCTTCGTGAAGTTGTATGTACCTGCGGAGTTATGTAGCTTTTGGCAGCCTTCTTGCTTGCTATAAAACTCCATTGCAGACGCCGTGCTTCCGCTGAAAAGCTGAAAATGATGGCACACTGTTGTTGAACGAAAGAGCTTGCATTGAAATTTGTCTTTTTTGACAAATCATCAGCAAAGTTTTGTGTCATTAGTTCGCCTGTAAGTGGCCTTACTAATTACTAGGAGTGGTTACTCGCCTGAACAGCAAGCCGGACACTCATCTTCTGGAAGGCGTTTGGGAAGATGTGAGCCCTTGTGAGCTTCGGAACAGCCCGAAGGCCAGCCTGTTGCTCCTCGTACTCCAGCAGGGCAGAGTAGTGGAAGTGATGGACCTCATGTCCTACCGGTAGCTGTGATAAAAAGGTGAAGCCACTCCTCGCAAAGGGAGTAACCTGACGTAGATACGAATTACTGCTTACCAGAAACTTTCCAACCTTCTGAAGATTGTTCCTTATGCATTTGAAGACATGCGGTGGATCAAGTAGTGCCTGCACTGTCCGTGAAGGGTCACATGGATGCTGGAATGAAGTTCGCAGCTGTTTCTGGTCACTGTTTATCCCTGAAAAAAACACATAAATGCAGTTAGTAGTGTTCAATTCTTAATTTGACAAATTTAACTCGTGTCCCCAGATACTAACCCAAGCTCCATAAAGCTGAACGATTTGGTGTTGAATTGTCGCATGTAACAGCAACGACAATAGCGCCAGCGTTCGAAAGGTGCACAATGCACTGGAGCAACAACTTCGCTACTACCGGAGGAACAGAAGGGCTGCACCGGGCTACACCGGAGGAACAAAGCTGCACCGGAGGAACAGGGCTGCACCGGAGGAACAAAAGGTACCAACAGTCTGCGACCACCCTGCAAGAAATGGTCGGAAGAGAAAGACCAGGACGTGATCGCCATCTTTCTCACAGTCCGAGGGTCTTGTATGCTCAGCGAAGTTAACTTTTCCGAGCAGAGCCATGTCTGACTCCCTAATGTGCACACTCTTTCTTACGCTCATTTCATCGAACATCAGGACACCTGTAAAAAAATACATCTTATTAGACATGCACCACATATGAGATATGAAGTCATAGAATGCAGTAGTGAGTTAGTGCATTGTTCCAAACCTCGACCCTCTCGCTCATTAAGTACTTGCAGCTTGTCTTTGAGAACGGTGAATAGACTGCTGTCAAAACCAAAGTCAGCCTTGAGGCTCCTCAGGTACGTGTAGAGGGTGCGAGGGGTGGGCAAGGGAAGGTACTCATTCTCGTGAAGGAATGTATAGACCGCTGTCGACTTAATCTTCAGTAGCAGGCAGTCATAAATCCATGCTTTTTTTTACCTAAAGAGAGTGCAGGCTCGTTGTGCATTCAGGTAAACCGAGGCTGGTGAGTGAACAATGCAAGTGCATAACCACAGCAAGCAGAAAAAAGAAGATGCACGACATGCATCACACCATCTTTCCTCATACCGCAATACACAATCACCGCGTTTAAAAATGCCTTGTCATTTTTCATATTAACATGCACCCCTACTCCAGTACGAGAGCAACAGACAGCTTGCATTGTGCGATCATGCAAAGCGGGCAATTTAGGATTACTCTGACAAGCAATGCTAGCGTGCACTGCTCTTAAAAAATATGCACAAGACAGTGGCACGAAAAAGATGTGCGATTATATTCATAGCTTCGTGGCAGTTATGTGCGACTGAAGATTACCTGGCAGCTTTCGGAGATTTCGCGTTTGCCTTCATGATGCACTGATCGTAAATAAGCTTCTCGCGGGTAGATAGCTTGTCCAGGTTTTGCAAGAGTCTTGCATTTTTGTTGGCCAGGACTCTCATCTTCGCAAGCTGCTTCTGACACCGTTCGAGTCGTTGCCGCGTACTCGAAAGCTGCGCCTTTAGAAGAAACGAACACACTGCCTGTTCCGTTTGGCAGGCCTGATCTGCGTGTCCGCTATCGCTGGCTGCTGCATCTGTAATACAATTCAATAACACTGTTCAGAAGCACCTCAATGCCACCAGCCGCTAACACAGGGTCATGCGACTGAGGGAGCAAAGTAACGCCGCGACTAAACCGGCTCAAGAGCTTACCGTCACTGGCTTCTCCTGCCGAGTCGGTGTTGACATTTTGGCATTCCACTGCTGCGCATTCCGGTGACAATTCGCGCCGCCTCTTCGCTGGTTGCCTCTGAGTCACAGGCCGTGAACGCGGTTTCGGCTTTGTCAGGTACGCCGGGAGCCCGTCAAAAATTCTTGGAACGGCGTTCGTGCGAAGCCTCGGTCTCTCTCGCTGAAGCGACACGACCACCCCGTTCACGATGTGCTCGTCGGTTCTCGCAACGTCGCTAGCATCAAAATGCTTTTCGCACACCCGAACGTTCTTACTTTCGAAGCTGCAACCGCCAGCTTCCAACCGCGGTATAGCTCGCTTCCATTTCTCTCGGAGTTCGGCGCTACTTGGGAAACAGAAGAGCGACGCCTTTTCTTTGTTGCTTCGGTATCCGGAGCTGCAACCCGTCACACAGCACGTCTTAGGCATTGTTCATTCGAATTTTCATGCCGTCCGCCTTGAGCACGGTGCACTGGCACATGAAGTTCGCGTTTCGCTGATGCAGAAACCGCGAGCTGCCACCACACAACGCCTTCGGGATGCCGCCGCGGCCAGTGCGTTCCGCCGGGCGCAGCGGGGCGATGGCCCCTCTAGGACAGCTTGCGCCGTGTAGCGGCCGCTCTTGGCACCATATTAAGCTCTCCCATAGAGTGACGGAGAAGTTTCGTGACCAGAACGGTATTAAGGGACTGTGGTATGAGTAATAAAGCGTTTTAGAACAGCAAAGGAACAACGAAGCGAATTGGGTATTGAGTGGGTAGTCGAATGCTGCGACCCATAACAAAAGCTTCAGGTGTAATTTTTTGTCATCGTCAGCCACAGCATAAATGAATTGCACAAAATTTCTTGAAAGTGTGTAGTAGGTACCACACTTTTCAGAAGGATGACGAATGATGGCATAGGGAATGCCATCCCGCACAGTGTGTACATGTCACAAGAAAAGGTGAACAAGAATGCCTGCGTACTACACAAAAGTTGCAAAAACATGGCCTAGTGCGTACCTTTTATGTGGGCTTGCAGCAGCTGCCAAAACAGTTAAAAAAGCTTCTGAAAAGCCGCTCTTCCAGCTTTCGCTTTGACAGCTGCACGTTCTATGCAGGCTTCGCAGATTTTTTTAAAGTAAAGTTCGCCTTTGAGCACAGTCACAAATGCAACTGCTGTACCCTAGTTATGAAGTCGACATATCAGAAAAAGAAAGTGCTATTTATATGATATATATCTGTTTTGTCTGACACTTGTATGTAAATATCAACTGGTAATTTGATGGTATTGGCAATACCACTATTAAAAAAATTTTATTGATTCTATCACAAAAATTGCTGTCATATAAACAGCAATATTCGTTCCATTCTTGTATATCTTCCTTTTTTTGATTGGCTCGGCTCAAGCTCGCTAGGGCACACTGTAAAAGCCTATAAATAGATTTAAATGTATCAGAAAGCCTGGAGTAAGGAGTCAAGTGTTGTATTTTTGAAGGATTTGTCATGGTGCTGCTAGAAAGAATCGCTTTTATGTGTTGTGAACTAATCGCTCTGCCTTGTATCCAGTATTCTTTTTTGCTTATTACATCACGTCTTGGCGACATACTTGACATAATTGCAGATTTGCCTAGTGCCTACATGTGACCTTGCCATGTTACCTGTTGCTGCAATAGCCACCTAGCTCTGTAGCGTACTGCAGTGCTATGTGACTATCGGTTGCGTGGCAACCTTTCAACATATATACTGAAGATTGGAAACTAAGCTGAGGTCCGTATGTGGAGTTTCTTTCTCTGAGCGACAAGTGCCTCGAAGCTTACAAATGTACCGAGTTCTTCGCATGTCCTAGTTTCTGAACCCATCATTCAAAATCTTCTGCGCAGGTTGCTGCTGGCCTTGTCACCAGTTGAACGTGTGCGCAACCTTCAACGAGAGGCCCTACTCTGCCAGCTGGAGTGTCAGTGCCTGCGCAAGGCTGTAGCAGGGGAAAAGAAAACCGGGTGTCAGGTCACCGAACTTAAGTCAGAAGCAAAAGTGGTATTGTGCCCGTCTTCCCTTTACTACCGTACGTGTTGTAAGCTCATTGGACAATGTGTTGTGACCAGACTGAGGCCACAGTTGGCCGAGTGGCAGCTCAAGAATCTGGTCTTGGGGCTATTGGATCGCTTCTGAGTGAAAAGAAAAGAAAAAGTTGTCTTTGTATGATTACAAGCAATGCGTGATAGGGAGGCTTTGAAGAAGAATGCTCTCTGCGCATGTCTCTGGTATTCTTGAAGACAGTAATAACAGAACACACGAGTTTTGTGTGTTAGGCAGACAAGAATAGGGTAATAGAAAGGGCAACAATGATTTCCTGCTTTGTGCCTGGCTGCAGGTCCCGGTACACCAAAGGAGGGAAGAGTTCTATTTCTATGTTCCGGCTGTACCAAGCGGTGGCCCGCCTGGTACAAAGATAGGACAGTGTCTCTATGGTCTCTGTACAACTCAAGTTGATGACCATTTTCGTGCCGTGAATACAATGAATAAAACAGTCCGAGCGCAAAAAAAAAAAAAAAAAAAAAAAAAAAAAAAAAAAAAAAAAAAAAAAAAAAAACCATGTTCTGCTTTACGCGCTCAGCAAAGACACAACCACACGAGACGCTAGCTAGCAAGGGACTGTTTATTGATGGCTGCCGCGCCGCGCGCGCGCCCTCTCTCAAGGTGGCCAGGTGAGGTGGGATCATCCCGATTTACTAAGCGGTGGCCCGCCTTGTTCTGCTTTACGCGCTCAGCAAAGACACAACCACACGAGACGCTAGCTAGCAAGGGACTGTTTATTGATGGCTGCCGCGCCGCGCGCGCGCCCTCTCTCAAGGTGGCCAGGTGAGGTGGGATCATCCCGATTTACTAAGCGGTGGCCCGCCTGGTACATCCTCCTTTTTCTTTAGGTGATGTAGTCGGCAAAGCGCGTCGGTGCTCTACGTGGCCTAGTTGATCTTCTGGGACTCGAGTCGGCTGCTTCTTGTGCCTGGCAAGTGACCTTATGCTGGGACGGGACCACGTCGGGGTCCCTTGATGGTTGACTTGCAATGGGTGGTGCACGTGCAGCTGACTGGTTCAGTAGAGCATCCGATGCTGCTCTACGTGTGACCCCGACGTGGTCCCGTCCCAGCATAAGGTCACTTGCCAGGCACAAGAAGCAGCCGACTCGAGTCCCAGAAGATCAACTAGGCCACGTAGAGCACCGACGCGCTTTGCCGACTACATCACCTAAAGAAAAAGGAGGATGTACCAGGCGGGCCACCGCTTAGTAAATCGGGATGATCCCACCTCACCTGGCCACCTTGAGAGAGGGCGCGCATCATCCTTCATTGCCAGCGAATATGGTCTACGGATGCAGCCCAGACCGTGGAATAACTCCGGGAACTCGGTGACCCAGTCGGTGCTAACGTCACTTCTTGAAGATACATCGTGAACGCGGGAAATCAGCCCGAAACGTTCTGCTGCATTCAATCCGAGTAGGACTTGCTTGCCTCTCTTGACCACAAAAAAACTGATATTCTCTTGCTGCTCTCCTAGACGTAGTGGCAGACTGATAACGCCCAAATGATGTATTTTGCTTCCTTCGTAGTTAGTAAGTACTGTGGTCGATGGCCGCACCATGGTCGGCAAACGCATCCTGCGAAAGTACGAGTACGGCAATATGTTCGCTTGCGCTCCTGTATCCACTTTCAGTTCTGTCGGGTGCCCGGCAAGGTCCCCTGCCACCGTCCAATCCTGATTTTTGGACACGTTTCTGATTGTACCGTGAGAACTTGAATGTCTTCATCGGTAGCGTCCGAGGACTCCTCCAGTGCATCTTCTGTTGCAGCGACGCCTAACTCATGAACGCCGCGTCTACTCCTGCAGCAAGCTGCAAAATGGTTTCTTTTGTTGCACAGCGTGCACGTTTTTCCAAACGCTGGGCAGCGTCTTGGTCCGTGAATCTTGCCACAGTAGCCACAGCGTCGACGTTGTCCGCTCGTACGAGACTGTCCGGCAGCGTTTGCAATTTTTTCGACTCTCCGCACTTTCGCTTCGCTTTCAAGAGCCCGGTTCTGCGTTGCTGCCAGTTCCGCGGCTTTGCAGATTTCTACAGCTGATTCTAGGGTTAAGTCCTTCTCCTGAAGCAGGCGTGCACGTAGCTTCTTGTCGACGATACCGCACACTATCTGGTCCCTCACCATCGAGTCCCTAAGTTCGCCAAAATTACAAGTCTGTGCTTTCAACTGAATATCGCGCAAAAACTGTTCGAAAGGTTCACCATCCTGTTGTTGCCGACTGCGCAGAACGTACCTCTCGAATGTCTCGTTGTCAGGATGGCCGCACCATGGTCGGCAAACGCATCCTGCGAAAGTACGAGTACGGCAATATGTTCGCTTGCGCTCCTGTATCCACTTTCAGTTCTGTCGGGTGCCCGGCAAGGTCCCCTGCCAACGAACTGACCTCTGCAATCCTGGCGGACCCATACCTCAAGCAAGTGGTGGAGGCACTCCAGGAAGGACGACCAGTCTCAGGCGAACTAGCTTCATGTTTGTCAGAACTGTCATATGTTGATGGAGTGCTTTTGCGGGGCAGCAGGGTGGTAATCCCAAAGAGTCTGAGGCGATCCATGCTGCAACGTCTTCATGAACACGAAGACTGAACTGACCTCTGCAATCCTGGCGGACCCATACCTCAAGCAAGTGGTGGAGGCACTCCAGGAAGGACGACCAGTCTCAGGCGAACTAGCTTCATGTTTGTCAGAACTGTCATATGTTGATGGAGTGCTTTTGCGGGGCAGCAGGGTGGTAATCCCAAAGAGTCTGAGGCGATCCATGCTGCAACGTCTTCATGAAGGCCATTTGGGAATGAGCAAGTGCAAAGCCAGAGCACGCCTTCTGATGTACTGGCCTGGGATGAATGCTGACATCAAGTCACTCATTAGCAAGTGTGCCACATGTCAGCACTTTGCCTACCGGCAACCTTCAGAGCCACTGTTATCGAGGGAAATCCCAACGCGGCCGTGGCAGCGAATTGGTGTCGACCTATTTGACCATGGGGGCAAGCGTTACCTGGTTGCGTACTGTGCCTACTCCAACTACCCAGAAGTGGAACAGTTGCCTCAGTCAACAAGTCAGGTCGTAGTGGACACACTAGGGACCATGTTTGCTCGCCACGGTATACCCATTGAAGTCTGTACCGATGGAGGACCACAGTTCACATCGCGAGAGTTTAGACAGTTTGCAGTAAAATACGATTTTACTCATACCATATCCAGTCCACACTTCCCCAGGGCCAATGGTCTAGCTGAGAAAGGGGTACAGGTCGTAAAGCGCCTCTTGAAGAAAAGTGAGTACGCTGGCGAGGAGTTTTGGGTTTCACTGCTCAATTATCGAATCTCGCCCCACGATCATGCCGCCGAGGAAAGTGCCACACGCACTGCGAGCGCCACTTAAGCAGGAGTTGGCCCGGATGGTCTCGCAGGGCATCATATGCAAAATGGAAGAGCCGTCAGACTGGGTGAGTCCACTTGTTCTTATTATGAAGAAGAATGGCCGCATGCGAATATGCCTAGACCCGCGGTACATTAATCGAAGCCTTAAACGCGAGCATTATCAGCTACCCTCACGTGAAGAAATAGAAGCAGAGCTGGCAGGAGCGGTGATGTTCACCAAGCTTGATGCCAATAGCGGGTTTCACCAGATCCCCTTAGACGAAGACACTTCAAAGATCTGCACCTTTAGCACGCCGTTCGGAAGATACCGATTTTTGCGCCTGCCATTTGGTATCGCGTCCGCCCCCGAAGTATTTCAGAAGGCAATGACGGAAGTGTTTGAAAACCTGCCGGGCACACGCGTATATGTCGATGATATTTTAATTTGGGGTGCATCAAAAGAGCAGCATGATCAACGCCTGCGTGCAGCACTGATGGCAGCGAGAAAGGCTGGCCTGACACTGAACAAAGAAAAGTGTCTGTTCGCGAAGGCCGAAGTTAAATTCCTGGGAGATTGTATCAGCAAAGAAGGAATAAAACCCGATGCTAGTCTCATTGAATGCGTTGCCAACATGCAAAAGCCGTCGAGTAAACAGGAAGTTCAAAGGTTTTTAGGTATTATGAATTACTTTGGCAAATTCATACCTAATCTCTCAAAAAGAACTGACGCCCTTAGGTCATTGATAAAGAATGATGTTGAATTCATATGGGAAGTTCACCATGACAAAGAATGGAAAGATCTTATTAAGGCTTTGACATCGGCTCCAGTGATCGCAGTTTTTGACCCATTGAAGCAAACGAAACTCTCAGCTGATGCATCAAGCTTTGCAGTAGGTGCTGCTCTTCTTCAACTCCATGACCAAGATTGGCGCCCAGTGGGTTATGCTTCAAGGGTGCTCTCAAAGGCTGAAACAAAATATGCCCAAATTGAAAAGGAAGCGCTGGCCGTGACGTTTGCTTGTGAGCGTTTCCGGGAGTTCGTACTGGGGTTATCAGTGACAGTCGAAACAGACCACCGACCTTTGCTTGCTATTTCACAAAAGAACCTGAGTGAAATGCCGCCACGATTGCAGCGCTATTTCTTGAGGCTCATGCCTTTTGATATCAAATTGCAATATGTTCCTGGGAAGCATCTGCTAGTGGCGGACACACTGTCCCGAATTCCAGGAACCCAACCGAGTGACGGAGAAAGCGAACAAGACGTATGCATCCATGCGACTCGCGCGCCCTCTCTCAAGGTGGCCAGGTGAGGTGGGATCATCCCGATTTACTAAGCGGTGGCCCGCCTGGTACACCGGCCACCGGCCGACCCTGATCAGCTGCGTCAGTGGGAGCTGAACATCGGGAGGACGGACAGAGCGCTCACTCGCAATGACAAAGTGTGCTTGCTGCACTTCGAAAAGCGCTATGTGTCCGACAGGTATTACAGCGAACACGCCGGAAATGTGCTGCTCAACGAGGGCAAGGTTCCGAGGCTGCGAAAAGATGCAGTGCCTACCATTTTCGACGATCGGGTGTTCTGTGGAGGTGGCGGCGTGCAACTGGATTCGTCTGCGATGATTGCTTCGCAGTGGTGGCCAGTTGGAGCTACTCCTTGCATGTCGAACAGGGTGGTGGATGTACCCAACGAATCTCAGTTATCGCCTGCGACAGTGTCGCGGATGAACACTGACGCTGATGCTAAAGGTGGTGAGCTTAGTGAACATCGTGTCATCGTGAAAAAGGAGGACTGTTCCTTTGATGCCAACCACTTTGGGAACGCTGAACTCTGCGCTGATGAAAGAAAGATTGGCGACCTTACTGTGTTCCAGAACATCCAGGTCAAAAACGAAAAGGATGAGTGCTGTTCGAGTGTGCAAAATCTGAACGAAGTTGTCTGTGGGAAGGAGAGGCCCCTAATAAGACCTGTCTGTGGCGTCAGTTTTCAAGGCGCAGGCTTTGAATGTGGCGTTGAAGTGAAAAAAGAGACGAAGGAGTGCGTCGATGAGCCTCCAGTGCCTCGAATAGTGTGTGCAGTGGGTAGTTTCTACAACACGCCCACGACACCCGGCGCTGCCCAGCGGGTCCTCGTGAAACAACTGCTGCTTCACCCTGAGGTGGTGAAGCTCCCGTTCTCCTGGAGCTACCACAAGGTATACAATGGACTGCTTATGGCCTATACGAATGGTCATTTGAGAGTGCTCTGAGCATTTTTGAAAGCAATGAATTAAACAGCTTTAAAGCTCTTTATACAACAATTAAAAGTTTACATGTCCTTATAACTCATGTTCAGGCTAGCTTTTTTTGCAACAAAATGAATTGAACATAGCAATATACCAGACGTAAGACACAGTACAACACATAAACCGGGCTGTGTAAATTGTAAAACTAATGCTTAGTTGCTCTTTTACACCATTTCTTTTTTCAGAGCCTCCGGAACACTGAAAAAAACCATCCCTAACGTACCAATATTTTCATAACTCGTGTATTATAGGTGACGAAACTGTAACGCGTGAAAGACGTACAAAAGTACGGCCTACATGAGCAGGTGCGAGACGCATAGCCTCCAAAATCGAGCAATACACGGACTTCACAATGGTTGCCGTTCCAGGAGACGGCTTGTTTAGTTGCGATCTCCAAATAATAGGAGCGGAGTCATGACGTCAACACAGTCTAAGGCATATTTTAATTAAATAATTATGTGTCTACAGTTTTGAAACAACAAATGAGTGTGGAGCACACTCTCATGGCAGCTTTTGATTATGGGTCATCAGGGTTTCGCTCGCAGCCCATATCATGCCCCCAACGTTGTGTTCAGCAGGCCTAAGGCCATAGTCGCCAGGCTGCCGCCCAGTAGTGTCTTGGGATGTTGTTATCCTGCATGCAAGCATTTTTTTAATTTAATTCAGTTCTGACAATACTTGAAAATGTTTTGAACCAACAACACAAAAGGCTTCAATTGCATTGCACAATGCTTTCTTCTAACTTTATCGTTCCGCCATGCTTGCTTACTCCCAGCTGTTGCGGCTGCATTTCCGATGGAGGCGGAAATGCTGTAGGCTCGTGTGCAGATTTGTGGGCACGTTAAAAAACCCCAGGGGGTCAAAATTTCCAAAACACTCCACTACGGCGTCTCTCATAATCATATGGTGGTTTCGGGACGTTAAACCCCACATATCAATCAACCATGCTTGCTTATTATTCCCGCAGCCTGTGACATGTCGATGCCATTGCTCAAAACTTCAAAACACTGAAAAAGTTTCTACGAAAGAACTCGCCGAAGCCATTTTAAAAGCTCGGATGCTTTTCTTTGTAGCATGCACTAAAATTTGTAGCGTGCACTAAAGACAGGGACACACAGAAAGAAGGCTCAAACTAATGCTTACTCACAACTAATTTATTTTCAGAAAGGACTTGACTATCACACATGACGTATATATATTTGTGCTTATATGTATAAAAATTTTCAAAAATAATTCAGTTGTGACTCAGCACTCGTTTGTTCTTTTTTTCCCTATGTCCCCGTATTTTGTATGCACTACAAAATTTTTAACAATCATTTATTTCAAGTCGCCCAGCTATCAAGTTTACTGTGAAAAAACAAACACGATATTAGGTTAGTGTATGGCATAATAACGAAGTAAAATGGGTGTAAGGGGTGGCACAAATTCTTTCTTTAGTTGTAAAAGCAGGGGCATATGGGAGCTCAAACATTTGCTTTCTTTGTGCGGGCGCTCTCTGACCAAACTTATATCGATTGAATGGATTAGGTTCATTTATTACCCGCTTTTGACTGACCTGTACCTTACAAAGCTCAACAGGGCTCTTAGCGAGCGTCTTATTGGTCGTAGTGTTCTGAAAACTTTGATACTAATAACCTCATTTACACCGAGACTGCGACAAACTATGCAACGCATGTGCCAACCACGGAAATGGCCCAGCAAAGCAGGGAGATGCCTCTTCGTAACATTTAGGGCCTGTAACGTGCAAACATACATTACTCAGCTGTCATATTGATCCAGGTACAAAAAATGAAGACAGCAGAAAATCGTGTCAGGCTGTCGGAGAAAGTAATATTTGCATTAGTTACAAAATCCGGGTATTTATATTCTACACAGGTGCTGCGGCAAGTAAATGTTATTGGAAGCATCTTATAGCTAGATTCGTTACCTAAGATGCTCAATGAGTGCTTCCGCACTATGTCTTTGTCAAATTGACAAACCTAATTCAGGAAAGTTTAGAAGCTTGTAGTTTTTCAGTTTTTTTTTTTCTGCCGTCTTGTTCTTTTTTTTTCTGCCGTCTTGTTCACCTTTCCCTCAGGTGTTCGGGTAATCAGATACAGTGACTGCCTACCGCTAGGCTTTGCTTTTTTATTTTTGCATCATGACTTCTAGCAATCAATGCAAAACATAGAGAACTACTTTCAACTGCTTCAACCTGTCTTTGTTTTTCTGGAGACGCTCAGTTAGTGGACATCTGCTCTATACTATTTCTCGGATAGGTCCGAGTGCCACCATATGAAACTTTTAACCTTTGTGTTTTGCATCTTTAACTACTAAACGAACAGTGTTGTGGCACACGCCAAGCATGATAACTTGTGCTGGTGAGTGTGATGTTTCATGATTTTATTAATGGATGTCGTGATACACAAAAACAAGAAAACATCAGCTTAGCAGATCAAGGTGGCAGCACCTAGAAGTCTTACTGCACTATGGTATAGTATAATATATTGTAGTGTAGCATAGTATATACCGATAATATGCTATGTGCATATATACTAGCGCCGGCAGTAGATGTGCCCAGCCCTAGTAAAGAGATAAATGTTTGACATACGCCAGCTCACACCACTGCTGCCGCTAGAACATGCACCAATTTTCATCACCACCGCAATAGATTGGAAGCAGCCGAACGAACAAGCACAGGGTAGACAAGTGGCTTGAGGAACGCTATTCGGCCTCGTGACCTAAGGATAGAACTGTCAGGAATTCAGAAAGCGTGGATATTTCATGTATACATGCTCGGACTTACATTCTCGAACACGTTGCTACGTGACTGCAAGTTAATTCGCTGCGTGCGACTCTTAATTCTGGGTTTATACTATGATTGCACAGTAATCTGCGCCGTTCGCTCATATACAGTATAAAGGATCGCTAGTTGGGCAAGTTTCAAGGTACCTGAAATTATGAAGGAAACAGAAGGCACACAAACGAGCAATGGCAGGAGACATAAAATTTCAAGTTTACATGAAGGGAAGAGATACGACGCAGTGGTCTAGTCATTATGTTTGGTGGGTGACGAAGAACCCCGGGAGATGGAAGTTTCAGGAGCACTCCACTATGGCATCTCGCATAATCATAGCGTTGTTTTGGTGCATAGAACTACCGCAATTATCATTAGCTAAGTGAAGCAAAATGCAGAATGGCTATGCAGAAGGGATAAAAAGTTAATTAGTAGCATTGCTCATTCCTTATTTATCTATTTATTTATTTATTTATTTATGCTACCCTCTGGGCCAAAAAGGCATTAAAGAGGAAAGTGGGTACATACATGAAAAATACATATGAAACAGTGCAATAAATACAAATAAAACAATACAATAAAAGACTCAGTTGATATCAACATTTCTGCAGAATGTACAAAAATAGTTATTTCCAAAATATAAAAAAAACTGTAGCAATAAGCATAGGTAACAGATTTTCTTGGTTATACAATGTTAGCTAATGTTTCGTGAAAAAGTTTGAAGTCAGTAATGGTTGCGAGAATCAAGGGAAGGTGGTTCCAATCATGAGATGTGCGGGGAATAAATGACTGAAAGAAAGACTTGGTGTGACAGGATGCGATTCCTACCTTATTGCAATGATCAACACGGTTTGAGATGTACACAGGCCGGAGTATCAGGTCATTATGAAGTGTTGGGTGATATAAAATTTAATGAAACAGGGAAAGACGGGCGATTTTTCTTCGGTGAGCCAATGGAATAAGTGATAAATTATTTTTCAGTGAAGTCATACTTGCAGTGCAGTTGTAGTTAGAGAGGATGAACTTAGCAGTTCAAGAGAGGTGATGAGATTAGCATGACTGGGATCCCATATGGCAGATGCATACTCGAGTTTAGGGCATATGAGAGATTTATAGAGTATTAGTTTTAAAGAAGAGGGTGCTATGGAGAAGTTACGTCGTAAGTAGCCGAGCATTCGATTGGCATTGTTAATTACGTACTCTACATGAGTTGTCCAACTTAAGTTATTTGTGATGTGCATGCCAAGATATTTATAAGACAAGACGTCATCTAAGGAAATGTTGTTTAGATTGTAGGTGTTATGATTCGAGTTAGTTCTTAATATGTGCTTTATCTTATATTTCTTAATGTTCCATTAACCAGATATTGCACCAATTAGCTATATGATTTAAGTCAGTTCGAAGTATTTTAGTATCATCTACATTGGTAATCTTGCGGTAAATAACACAGTCATCTGCGAACAGATGTATGTTAGAAGTTATTGAAGAAGTTAGATCAATTAATATATACAAGAAATAATAAAGGTCCCAACATTGAACATTGAGGCACACCTTATTGTACTTCAGTGAGTGGTGAATGATGGTCGTTAGCAATTACGAATTGGAAACGATTAGAGAGAAAATGTTCTATCCATTTAAGAAGGTTAGTGTCGATATTTAGCAAGCTTAGTTTTAAGAGCAGTAATTTATGGCAAACCTTGTCAAATGCTTTGCTAAAATCTAAAAAAAATACTGTCAGCCCAAGATGATCGATCCAGGATTTGATTCAGAAGATGAGTAAACGAAGCAAGCTATGTCTCGCAGGAGTATTGTTTTCTAAAACCATGTTGCGCTTTAGCAAAGTATGAGTTAGACTCTAGAAAGTTAGCAAGATTCGAGAAGATTACATGTTCTAATAATTTGCAACAATTACTTGTTAGTGATATAGGTCGGTAATTAGGAGGTGAGTTTCTGGGGCCAGTTTTATAGATTGGAACCACCTTCCCTATTTTTCATTCCTTTGGAAGTTGACAAGTACTCAATGATTGTCCAAATATTTTACTTAGTATCATAGAACTTACTACTTTAGTGCTTTTCAGGAATTTGCTAATAATGCCATCATAGCCAGGAGCGGAGTGGAATAGTAACTTATCTACTAGTTTCAATATTCCAGGTACCTCGATAATTACTGAATTCATGGGCATGTAATTATATTGGTGCACATAAGGGCGTACGATGTTGGCGGATTCAGAGTACTGGCTTGAAAATGAATCATTAATAGCTGATGCACACATGTTATCGGGGATATTATTTCCAGATGAATCTTCTAGTGATATAGTGTTGTTAGTGGTTGGGTTAATCATTTGCCAAAACTTTCTAGAATTATATTTTAGTGTTTCAGGTAGTGTTCTAGTTAGGTAGTTGTTTTTTGCAGTTTTTAGAGCTCTTGAGTAGGTGTTTGCAGCAGATTTGTAAGTTGTCTAGCGCGAAGGTGAAGGTGAGTTTTTAGCTAAACGAAAGAAATGCTTTTTTTGATTAGATAGGTGTTTTAGATGACTGGAATACCACGGCGCTTGGGGATTGGCACTAAGTGTGCGATTAGGGATGTACTTCTTGATAAATTTATGGACTGTTCATGCGAACAGGTCCCAGTTAGATTGAATAGAACGAGATTCAAAATCTCTAACGAAATCATCGTAAAAGTGAGTTAGCTCATTATTTATTGCTTCTAAGTTAGCTTTCCGGTAGTATCGTATGCGTTTCTGCTGTTTAGTCTTTTTACTAGGGCTAATATTGATGACAAAGTTTAGGGGAGACGTGGTTGCTGATTCCTGGTAAGTATGTAATGTCGGAGACAAGGTCAGGATGCGTTGCCAGTATTAGGTTGAGAGTGCTTGCTGCATTACTTGTAATTTGGTGGCTTGAGTTACTAACTGAGTCAAGCAATAAACAGAGCATGTATTCAGAAAATCTTCACTCTGCTGTGAAAAGAGGAAACTGCGAATCGGCATTGTGTTACACGTTATGTTTGGAAAGTGAAAATCTCCGAGTAAAAACATAGGTAAAAAAGGGAAACGAGAGCTTACTATGTTGATAGAGCCAGGTAAAAAAGGGAAACGAGAGCTTACTATGTTGATGAAGCCATGCAGTTCGTTAGCAAATGTGGATGGTGAGGAAGGTGATCTGTAGCAGGTACCTAGAACCAGCTTACAGTTACCCAAAGTTAGTAAAGCCCAGGTTATTTCTAGTAAACTGTTCACTTGGATTGGTGATGATGGTATGTCCTTCGAGACCGCAAGTAGTACGCCTCCTCCTCTATGCTTGGTGCGGTCGCAGCAATAAACCATAAAGTTGTTTGCCTCATGAAATATTTCCAAGTCTGTTGTTTGCGCGGAAAGCCACGTTTCAGTTAAAGCTACTGTTTTCGCATCGCATGTATTTATAATGGATGAGAGGGCACAATGTTTATTGAGAACACTTCTGGCGTTAGCAAAGAGTACAGATACCGGATGCAATTCACGATGTGATGATATGCCACTACCCTGCGTTTCTCCCTACAGTGAGGCATTTCGCCCAGTGGAGTGTCCGTGACCTGATTGGTTGCCTTGCGAGCGCATTTCTTGAACGCGATCAAGTTCAAAGTTTTAGTAGAAAAATGTATTATTCATGAGCAATTTGTTATAGCGCAGTTTAGACTGCGGGCGCCCAAGATAGCTCTTTGCAAATTCGATTAGTTTTTGGCGAGAAGTGCGGGTACGCTGACAAACACCTTCCGTCACTGAAATGTTCTTTTGTTTCAGCTGGTTACGAAGTGACAAGACTTTTTCTCTGGTCTCTGGTCTTGTAGTTGCAAAATTTGGCTATTATGGGGCGGCATTTGGCAGGTGCGAACGGACCAAGTAGATGTGTGCGATCAATTGGCTCTGTGCAGAAAGATTCAAGTACTTCATTTATCGCTGCTGATAGCTTATCTTCAGTTTTGTTCCAGGTTTCTTTAGCGGCAGCTATACCATGAAAGATTAGGTTGTCACGCCTAGATCGCCAGATTGGCCAGAAACGCCTATTAATTTTTTCTGTTTGAGACAAGGACACTGGGCTGGTGCTTGACTTTCATTGGGCAGATGTGGAAAGCCTAAATCTCCTCTCTAGCTGTCTATCATCCAGGTCTTGATGTAAACATCATATCGATGAAAACTGGTGAGCAACCCCAAATGTTGCAATTGGACAGAAAATGCGATCTGTCAGGTTGCTTTAGTGAAAAAGTTTATTTAGCTGATTTTGAGCGCTCTGTTCAGTAGTTTCTGTGCGTCCCCAATTCAATCTTTGCCCCCCTCCTCCATTTTCTTTCTCCAAGAGCAGGCACAGCCAAAAGACGACGCCTGTGTGCCACCCTCCCCTCCCCGTATCCTTAGTTGCCTCGATGGAACTCAAATGTAGAGGTCATCGTTAAAAAATGATGATAAGACATCTTTTCCCTAAGCGAGGGTACATGTAAGCATAAAATGCGTGGGAAAAACAGATTGGTTGGAGATTACGTTAGCCACAGTGTCGTGCATTTTTAACAAGGGCACACCCCTCCATACCACATCACACTACACTGCGCTTATTTAGATTTTTATTTATTTTTGCATTGCTACCCTCAGGGCTTACAAGAAGCATTGTAAAGGGGAGAGGATAGAGTAAGTGAATACAATACAAAAATAAAGGTAAGTCAAAGAAAAGTAGTGAAAAAAATTACATCGAAAAAAAAATATAAGAATTCTACTAAATGGGCACGAATGATAACAAACAAGTTATGCTTTTATATCAGTTAGCGAAAATAGGACACAAGAGAAAAAATAAAAATTAGGCAGCAATAACAGGGAAAGACACTGCATGCTAAGCCAAAAAACTCGACTGATGTACTTTTATGCGTAAATGTAGACTGTTTGATCAGCTTCATACTATGTTTGTCGGTGCTATGCTAAAATGGTTGGTGTCTCTGACAGCGACTAGTGATGCAGGCAAGTGATTCTACTCATGACATGTTCTTGGCAAGGATGAAGTAGGTGACAGTGCTGTGAAGGTACATGAACTTATGTGAAGGTACAGGATATTTGACACAGGGGAAGATATAAGATGCTCGTGCAATCTATCAGGGCTTCAGCTCATGGTTGTGATAGTATATAGTATATCTCGTGAAGCAGGCAAAGGCAGATAACTTCCTGCGAGAAGAAAAGAGGGTAATGTCAAGGGTTTGTTTTATATTGGTGACTGGAGCAGTTCGATGATAGTTGTGAAAAGTAAAAGGGGCCGCTTGATTTTCTACATTTTCTATTATGTTTTTTAGAGTAGCATGACCACGATATCGAGCATGCGTATTCTAAGTTTGATGTAACATAAGCAATCTTTGTTCTTCAGCAATGTTGTCCATACGGACACTATTGTTTCCTGTCACTGCATGGGATAAACCTCGAGCTTTGCATAGCGTATGTGGCTGATGCACCTATCACGCAACACCAGACTAGAGTATATAGAAGAACCAGGACAGCGAGTGTCAGGCAGCGGGGCGATGTCACTCGAAAAATGTGATAAACCGTGCAGGCTGCCATGAAGGTTACCTGTGGCAGCATGGCATTTACTCACCCATCACTGGATTATGGTTTGTTTGGCACAGAGAATCTTTCCTTTTGGAAATTTTCAGACGTCATTTTGGTTGAAAGGGAAAACGTAATTCCTCTTATATTGCTCTGAATTTGGGGAATTGGTAAAATCCCATATCATGATCAAGAGACAGTGGTCACAGGGTGCTTCTAGCTTCTACCATCGGTTCTGGTGCACGCAGCACGCTAGAGCGTAGCCCTTCAGACTTGCTTCTGATATGGAGCGATTTCTTGTTCACTGTGGATGTTTGACTTGAAACTCGCGTACGAACAATTTGTGCTTGCAGCACTTGTGTTACGTGCGGAAGCCGCGTATTTGTGCTGTGCAGGAGCGCAGGCACTATAGTCATGATTTTAATGGCGGTAAACACGTGTGACACATGTATTATATTATAATAGCGAGTTTAAATATGTATACGTGTGGGGGCACTCCGATTAGTGCCATTGTTCGAGAATGTGTGTTGGGATTTTATGTGAAATATTCAGGGAAAAATGCACGAAGTACAAAATTTTTCGTGCCTTGGATCGGGAATTTTTCATTATAGAATGGAACATCGCTGCTCTGGTGCTCAAAAAAGCACATGTTTTTGTACAACAAGTTACAGCTTCAGTGATTGTACAGACAAACACTCTTAGAACTCTGAAGTAACACATTTTGTAACATGTGAGGACCATAGCTGGGATATTTAATAGGATTCCGCATGGAGGGTTGTCTACCCAAGGACTTTTTGAAACTCTTGGGCTGGTTTCTAAGCTCGCATAGATGCCCGATTGATCATATCTGAGTATCCTGATGTTCCTCCTCACTTCCCGGATGTCTTATTTGAAGTGCCCAATAATGTAGCTCGTATTTGGCTCATATTCTCTTGAGAACCGCCTACAACAGTAGCTAAAAACATTTCATGCTCAAAACCTTGGCGCCGCCCCCATGATTTCCGGCCACAACGATGAATAATATGCAAGTTTGCTTGTCGTTCTAAATAGTTGTTTCCCAGTTTTTTTTTTAATGCTTTATACTGTGCAACAATCTCGGGCAAAGCTGCCAATGCATAGTGCCTGTGGCTTTTGGGAAACTGAATTAACGTTATCTTCTTCCCCAGGCTACAAGCACATTGTACCTCAAGCATCGATGCAGATAATCGTATATGTAATCGTTTATACATTACGCAGGTGAGCACGACTCGGTACTACCGCATCGTGTACAGCACCATCACCGTAGCGGCCGGTGATACTACCCCCGTCATCACCAAGTTCATCAATATCACGCAGAGTCGCGGCCACAACGCCGAACCTCCCATGCCCTTCGAGGCGTTCGTGTCGGACCGGAGCCTGAACGCTACATTGGGCGACCTCGCGAAGCCCACGACCATCGAGGAGGTCGAGCGCATGATCGAGGCTGTGGATGGGCTGCCCATGTGCCGCGGCGGGCCGTCCAGGTTGAGGTACCCGGACGCCGATCCGACGAACGCTCGCCTCGACGTCCTGGGCGTCTGGAGGCGCGTTGACTGCGAGGTGTATGGCACCCCGCTATGCCGTCACTGCGCAAAGCTGGAGGACGCCCTGCGCCAGAACGCGTGTCGGAAGCGCAAGGGGAAGGACTTCTCTAGGCTGCGGCTGGCGCTGCAGTGCCTGGCACCGGCGCAGCGGTACAAGGTGGAGCTGCTCCAGAGGCGCAGCAGTGCCTGCGCAGAAAGCTTCAACGTCTCAAGGCTAGCGGCAGGGAGCTCTGCGACAAGGACAATGAGAACAGCGACGACGACTCTGGAAGCAGCAATAACGAAATGGAATGCTCCGTGGTGCTGCCATAACGGGGCTGAGCCTTGGTATCATACGTGTGCACTCGTCATCACGATCGCACAGGCGTGCGCAGGTTTCTCCATCATTTTGGGGGGGGGGGGGGGGGGAGTTGAGTCCCTAGTGCAATAACCTCCAGCTTCATCTCCTCTTGATGCCGGCAAAAATGCCGGTCGATTCCGGCAAAAAATAAGCTTCGCAGTTAGTGCAAAAATGAAAATGAGGCGATGGCGTGCTTCGTACAATGGCCTGCCTTTGGTCCCAGTTTGGAAGTACCGTATTTGCCCAGTTCCAACGCGCACCTTTTTTTGGGGAACAATCAAGCTTGAAATCGCATGTGCATTACATTCGGGTATAGACGTTTGAACTGCCCCTTAGCTGTAGTTTTGATTTTGGGCAATGTAAGTCAGGTGCGCGTTGGAATCTGTAATGCGTTGAAATTAGGCGAATACATTAAACAGTTCATGCAGCTCAAATTCAGGGGTCACCGGCTGCCATTTTCCTAAAAAACAAGGGCCGGGATATGTCCGACTGAGAAAAGGACTTAGCCTTCCTATTAATTAGGTGTCGATCGACCGCCCCCCTTGCTGCGTCCAACCCCATCACCCCCGGGCACATGCTTATACTCAATGTAAGTGTGATATATTGTCAAAAATATATTTACAAAGTATACAGAGAGAGGCACCTGCAGCCAAGCTGGCAAAACAACAACAACATGAGCGTGATCGCATTTGTCTTCTTCATCGTCAACCTGATGCTCTTTCGTTCCCGGCGTCGTGTAATTTATAAGTTCCTGCTGCTGGTAGCGCCGTCCCAGCACTTAAAGGTGAGTAGGATCATATGCAGAAAAGTACGGGAGACGTGCATGACGTCAGTGACATGTGCGTACGACAACGAATGACTGTCCAACGAAACGATCTCATATGTGGCCTCAGTAAGCCAGCATAAAACCTTGTAAGGTCCCGAGTAGCGAGACAGGAGCTTTGAAGAAAGGCCAACATGACGGCATGGTGTCCAGAAGAAGACCAATGCACCTGGAACTATTGTAACGGGCCTTCTGAGACAGCTGCGAGCCTAAAAGACGTTTCCGTGTGATTTGGCGGGACACTTGAGTCCGAACAGTGGCATCCCGGTCGTACTGTATAACTTTTCGCATATTTGATGGGAGGGAGAAGAGTCTTAAAGGGTAAAATTGGATGGCGGCTAAACAATGGATAGAAGGGGGAAAAGCCAGCGGTGTCGTGGCGTGGCCTACCTGCTCCAAGACGATTCTCCAAGCTCCAAGCCATACCTGCTCCAAGACGATTTGCCTTCTGGCGAATCGTCTTGGAGCAGGTATGGGTTTTCCTTGCGGAAGTGTCTATTCGCACCTTGAAGCAGTGTCACAATTTCGAAAACACCACTCGTGCTACGACACGACGCTTGGCAATTGCGAGAGAACGCGCAAAAAAAAAAAAAAAGAGCGTGGAGACGCCACCTTGCAATTGCCCCACTAAACACCGAGACGTCACACATTTTGTAGCAGTCTAGTTGGCCATACGTAGCTTCTAATGGATTAAAAAAGAGGATTGTCATCTTTGTGCTCCACTAAGTTAATTGAGCCAATGACGCGAACTTATGACGAAGCGTGTTTCGACATCTTCGACTTAGGCGTAGATATATCAGCACGAAATTTTCAGTGAAACTTGAACTTTTATTTCTCCGTAGATGATGCACCTATAGAACTAAAACATATGGCAGTAAGGTTCTAAGAGTGCAGTTTATCAATCTAAACCAAGCCATTGTTTCTCTTTTGTGTCCGTGCTGAAGCGCGGAGACAAGTATAAAAGTACCTTAGGGATGAGCGCAATATATTTTCACAGTGAAAGCTGTTATGAAATCACAACAATGGTCGATTCTGACGCCGTGATTGTGCGCCGTCGGTGTCCGTAACAGATATCGCACGAAATGTAATAAGATAAATAAAAAGGCCAGGATAAAGTGGGAATCAAACCCAGACCCCCCTCCCCGCCCGCTCCTTGAAACGCCTTTGCAAACTGACGTTCCCTGTGCAGGCTTGATGTCTGAAAAGGAAAAGTGTCAGCGTGTGTAATAAAGCGTTTTAGAACGGTACAACAACTAAACGTTACACAATGCGAATCGCGTATCGGCCGTTGAATTCTCCAACCCATTAGAAAAGAATGGGGCACAATTCTTCATCATCGTTAGCCACAGCATCAAAAAGCTACATATTGTCACCGTGGTCGACACCAAAGGCCTGGTATTCTGAATTTTTTCGGGCAGAAGCCCGTACTCCGGTGGCAGCCCTTGTTTCCTACGGCTAACTCACTGCTCGTGGATTGCGTCGGTGTCTTCGTGGTGTGGGCAGGGTTCACGGCTTGATGGGGGCATCCAGTACATCATCAAAGAAGCAGAACCTCCACCAGATGAGATGGAGCCGTGACGGGACTGAAGGCAGGAGACTGCATGGTCAGATCAAACTGTTTACTTGGGTGAATCTGAGCCCGATAAACGAAAATTCAGGTTACAGTAGCACACTTGCACTGATAGCGGCGAATGGAGTGTTGATTGTCGGTCAACCTACAAGCGGTGTGAAGTGCGTCATTATTTATACACGTGGCGTCGAACATTCTAGTGTATATCGCTAGCGGCCGCGTGGATTCCAGAATAATATGTCATGTCCGCCAAGTGGGCGTAATCTTAACAAAATGATCTGCTGCAGTCCCAAAGCTTCTCGAACACTGGGGACGATAACATAACTTGGAATGTGGCAATATAACGCCTTTCGCGTGTGTTGTGGGCACCACGCTTCTCTGAAGAATGACGAATATGGAACTCTAGACACTTCCCAACTACACCAAAAATTTGATCATTTATGGTGTAGTGGGTACCTTGCAAGTGTTATTGTTGTAGTTGCTCTAAGAGTGTTTGAAAAAAGCTTGCTCTTCCAGCCTTTCGCTGCGACTGCGCTGCGTGCTCCGAACAGGCCTGGCGGATTTTGAAGTGAAAGCGTTAAGGAGCTCGTTTTGCGAAAATTCCGGCGTCGTTGGCTGCGAACGAAATATTTTGTGCGCAACCAAAAAATCTAGAAAGTTTCAAAGCAAATTAAAAATTCTGGGTCAGAGCGAGGATTGAACCCGAGTCGGTTTGCATGGTAAGGAGCAGGCATTCTACCACACGTCCACGAGTCTGCTTGTGAATACAGGAACTTGCTCTGCTTGGAAATGCAGCGAAAGTAACTTCCATGTTTCGACACGCGTTCTGTATGCACGATTCACAATACAACAGGAAATATTGCACTAATAACGCGTGGTGCAAGCGCGCATACCTTAGCATAGGGCGTCAGGACATGTGATTATTATTATGACTTCACTGTTTAAAGCCAACTGCCCCCTACAAAAGGCACATATGTTAATGCGCCTATTTTTTAAATTAGTAGGTGCATAGCAAGTTCGAAAAGACTTTATTCACCAAGGGTTTGAGGTATGCACTAAGTACAGGGCATGGTGTTAGAAGTATTTGTACAGGGTATCGCTATAGAGTTTTAATTTTTTACTACCGAGAATACTCACTTAACCTTCCTATCTCTTGCCCCACAGCGGTGGTCTAAGGTACTCGGCTGCTGACCTGCAAGTCGCGGGATCAAAGCCCGGTCGCGAGGCTGCATTTCTGATGGCCCGTGTGCTCAGATTTGGGTGAACGTTAAAGAACCCCAGGTGGTCGAAATTTCCAGAGCCCTCCACTATGGCGTTTCTCATAATCACATGGTTGTTTTGGGACGTTAAACTCCACATATCAATCAACCTTCCTATCAGTGTGATGAATGGCCAAAATGGTTTACCAAAGCGCTCACAACACAGCGCGTGATCACATACCTTAATGATGTCAGGAGTGCAACTTCTTCACTAAGCAACGCAACAGAAAGGTAGCAACCACACTTCTCTTTTTCCAGGAGCGAAGTTTCTTGTGCCCGCACCCTGCCGTCGCCGCCGTCGAAGCTCCCTGGTGCGGTGCCAGCTGTGAGCGGTGGAACGCGAAAACCGGCGAGCGTGCGTTCCCGCCACCAAGCGCAGCAGACACTCTCCGCGAGTGTGGCGCCACCAAGGCGCGTAGCGCAAACAAATGAATAAGGAAAATTGTAGTGAAGAAGGTGAATGTTGCGCTAAGTACTTGTCACGACTAGGGTACTTGTCAGCATGAGAAGACGATGACGTTTTGTTGTCTCAGCGCTTAGACTGGATCCTCCATTAGAGCGCAGTTGTCAAGACTGCTAACCTGTTTGATAAATAAGCGCTGCTTTGAAGCACCTTATTTTTTAAATAAATAAATAAAAACGCGTACATAGGTATTCGCGTCCTATTTCGAAGAAGCTTAGCTAATCGTTTTTATTCGTAGGAAGAACAGATAGACGAAGAACTTTTATGAGGTCCTGAGTGGCAAGCCAGGCGACCAATTGACCTAGCATATTATAGGTAAATTCTATAAAACTGTTATCTCTTAAATAAAGGATCTCATTTTTATCACCGTTAGTGGGAATGTCTCAAGCAGGCGTGGTGCATGTGGCCCACGTACCTCTCGCTAGCGGTCTTTCCGCAAATAGCTGAGCTAGATGCCATTTTTGTTTGTCTTTATTAAGTATGTTCATGAGCAACACGACGTGACATCCTGGTCTCAAAAATGTTTTTACCGAGGCACCCTCTGCATCACCATGTAGTGATCGAAACATAACCTTAGAATGAAACAACAAACAAAACAAACTCCTAGGTCTTATCGCATTGAGCCATCTTCTACTTAGGAGCGAAGCTCTTGAGGTACTCACGACATTGGCGCCGCGATCGTCGTAGCTCCTCGTCGGATCGACCCAAACACAGGTGTTACGCATACCGTACATAGAGCGTTCATAGCGCTCATATGGTGTTGCATCATACCGTGCTCTATACGTCCATATGTCTGTTCGACTCTCCGAGCATCTGTGTGTCCGTAAGTACGTCCATCCGTGTATATATCCGTACGTGCGTCCGTCCGTCCTTATAATAGTCGTTGACATCAACGTAGACATAATAAACCTTAAGACCTAGTTTCGACCCATCGTGAACACCCACTTCGTGGATCTGCCATAGAGTTTCCTAAAG